GCCGAAGGCAGTCGCTTAACCGACTGAGCCACCCAGGCGCCCCACATCATTAGTTTTTGATGTAGTGTTCCATGGTTCATTGTTTTCTTATAACACCCAGTGCTCCATGCAGTACGTGCCCTCCTTAATACCCAACAGACAAACTCTTTGAAGCTAAGTCACCCTTTTCTCTCAAGTACACTGCCCCATGTATCTTATAAAGTAGTGATCCTCAAGGTGTGAAGGTAAGGGTGGGTTGAGGTGAAGGGGGGATTTTGCTTCCCCAATGTTACAAAGAAAACCACAGGCCCAAAATGGTGTCACTTAGGTTGAATTCCTAAACTGAGGATTAATACTAATTTAATTGCAGTTTAGGGGCATCTGGCTAACTCAATAGAGAATGCGATTCTTGATATTAGGGTTGCGGGTTCAAGCCCTATGTTGGGTGTGGAGATTACTTTAAAAAATACAATCTTTTAACGATTTATTTATTTATTTATTTATTTGAGACAGAGAGAACGAGAGAGAGAGAGCACATGAGAGGGGGGAGGGTCAGAGGCAGAAGCAGACTCCCCACCGAGCAGGGAGCCCGATGCGGGACTCGTCCTGGGACTCCAGGATCATGACCTGAGCCGAAGGCAGTCGCTTAACCAACTGAGCCACCCAGGCGCCCAAAAAAATACAATCTTTTAAAAATAGGAAAAAAAAAAAGAAATTGTAAACAAAAAATACATAAAAAAATAATATTTGCAGTTTCAACCTCCACCCGAAATGTAGTCTTTACCAGTAAAGAATATTTTTTGATCAGTGCCAGTCTTCCCCATGGGCCCTCTCCATCCCCCAAAGGCAGATGAGGTCAACTGCAGATAAGACTCCTTGCCTTTCCCCACGAGTGGGAACAATCCTTTTCTTTTGCTAATAGCTTTCTCGTCCCACCTTCCTTCTACAAAAACTTTCCATTTTGTATAATTCCTCATAGCATTCTTCTGTTTGCTAGATGGGATGCTGCCTGTTTTGTGAATTATTTAATAAAGCCTTTAAACCTCTTTAAAATTTACTCAGTTGAATTTTTTATTTAACATCGAAGACACTGGAGACATTTTTGGTTGTAACTGGAGGGACAAGGGTGTCGCGCTACTGACGCCTAGTAGGTAGAGGCCGGGGATGTTCAAATAGTCTACAATTAAAACTGCCAGATATAGCAAATAAAATACACAAGGGGGGGCGCCTGGGTGGCTCAGTTGGTTGAGCGACTGCCTTCGGCTCAGGTCATGATTCTGGAGTCCCGGGATCGAGTCCCGGGATCGAGTCCCGCATCGGGCTCTCTGCTCGGCAGGGGGTCTGCTTCTCCCTCTGCCCTCTTCCTTCTCGTGCTCTCTGTCTCTCATTCTCTCTCTCTCAAATAAATAAAATCTTTAAAAAAAAAAAATGCACAAGGGGTAGTGTCTCCAAATAAAATGCAGAACTCTCAATTAACTGTGAATCTTAAATTAACACTGTTGTTTACCTGAAAACCAAAGTTAACAGCTCACCATGCACTTTATCTGGTGATTCAGGCCCCGTCACAAAGCATTACCCAGGCCAGCACGTCCCGACCGCGGAGGTTAAGAAATCTCGTCCCGGAACAGCGGTTTTCAAAGCCTAGTGCGCATCGGGATCACCTCAAGGGACACAGGCGCGGGCTGGGGGGCCCGCCCTCGGTTTCTCGCTCGCCATCGCTCCAGGATTCGCTTGCTTATCAAGTTCCCAGGGGAGGCAGCTGTTGGTCTGGGGCCGCCCCGGAGAACTGTTACCCAAAACTGCGTCCGCTTCTGGTGGGTGTGGAGCCAAAGACACAACCATGCCCAGGCACAGGAAAAGAAGAGAAAAGCGGGGTCCTTCCCCAAGCAGCGTCTCCTCCTCCGAACAGGACCGGGGAAGTTCCAAGCTGAGGGAGCACATTCCTGACGCGGTTTTCCCGAGGGGAATCCGTAACGGCGGGGGAAGAAGTCACCCTAAGCCGACTGGGTCCGGGCCAAACCCGACGGCAGCCCGGCCGGCCGCACCCGTTCGGGGCTCCACTCGGTGCTGTACCTGGGTGCTCCGAGCGGTTCAGGTCCTGCAAAGGTAGCGGGGAGTGTGCGCGCCGGCCCGGCCCTGGGAGTCCGCCGCGGGCTTGCCGTGCCCTCACGACCGTGTGTCCGCCGTCGGCTCTCACGCTCTCTGGCGCGACGGCCGGGGGCCCGGAATGACTTTTCTTATGCGGAGAAAGCGAAGACGTCTTTTCCCACAGACCCCCTGCATCTTCCCGTTCACAGAACCACCAGCCTGGAGAGAGAGAGAGACGGCGTCGTGCCCTCGCGAGCAGGGGCCGCAAACGCGTCCACGCTCCCTCGGCGGCCAGCTGGGCGCGCGGAGCCGGCGGGCAAGTCCGCGGACGCTGCGGCCGCTCTTCCCGGCCCGCGGAGGCACTTTCCAGTCCGCTCTAGGCTCCGCGGAGGCCCGGGCCTCTCGGTGGTGGCTCGGGTCGGGGGCGTGGCCGGGGCGTGGCCGGGGCGTGGCCGGGGCGGGACACAGAAGGCGAGCCCCGGCGCCGCGAGCGCTCTCGTGCCGGACGTTGCGCGGCCGCGACGCCCCAGCCGGCTAGGCCGGGCGCTCGGGGTTCGTTGCGTCGCGCGGCGTCCCGCGCAGCTCGGTGAGACTTCGGCCGCCCGGAGCGCGGAGGTAGGCGCCGGCCCGCCCGAGTCGCTGACCCGCGCTGGTTTGCGTGTGTGAGAGGCAGGGCCTGGCGTTGCGTTTTCTCAACGGTGCCCGAGGCAGGGCCCTCGGTGCCGCGCGCGGAGGGTGGGCGGGAGGGACTGCTTCGGGGACAATGGGCTCTTGGGCACCGAGCTGCGCGGGCCGGGCAGCGGCGCTCCCGCAGCGGGGCGGGCCCGCCTGCCTGAGAGCCTCTGGCGGCCCGGGTGCTCTGACGCAGGACGCCCTGGGGAACGGTGGCCGGGACCCGAGGGCGGGGCCGGGGCTGCGGTGGGGCCTGGTGGGCGCGGGGCGCGTGCCACGCACCGTCAGGGAAGGGGTGGCCCTGCGACGTGCGGGCGCTTCCGTCGCTTCCGCCTGCCCCTGCGGTTGCGGAGTGGCTTTTGTCTTCGTCTCCCTTTTCCCGTTTGGTGTTGTGACCGGGGCGGGGGCAGGGGGCCGCTGTCTCGCAAAGGCTTTTCCGGAGCCGTTTTGCACGTGGCTCAACTTTGAGGCGTTTACATTTATAAAATGTCTTTTTTTTTTAATTCTTTTTGAAATAATTTCAGAATTAAAAAGATGTTTAGAAACTAGTACAAAGTATTCTCACCTTTTATTCCCTTAGACTCCCCAAATGTTAACAGAACAGGAAAGCTAGGACACTGTATCTACAGGTGTTATTCGGATTGTCCTGCTCCTCGCACCCATTTCCTTTCTGTGGGATGGGATCCAAGTCAGGATTTAGTTGCATTTAGTTGTCTCATTGGAAAAATTTACATTTTAAACAGTGGAGGCCCTCTCACCGCCCCCCACCCCCACCCCCACCCCCAGATCCTTCAGAGTGGCCTTGGAAGCACCAGGTCTCAAATCAAAGGGTCTTGCTCTGTGCCAGGCCCACCAATGTCCAGCAGGGCCTCGGGCAGCTTTGGCACTCGTGGTCACCCTCTGTGCCTTGACCCATCTCGTCCTAGCCGGTCAGCCTCTCCTGGTTCTCCTCCTACTTCTCAGGCCTACCTTCTCCTGTCCTGATATCTCTGAAGATGCCCTCCTTGGCCACCTTCTCTTTCAGTCTGGGTATTTTCCCTGGGTGATCTCCTGTGGCTTCAAGGATTCTTGCGGTTTTGAGCATACCACAGATCCTCAGAAAACTCATCGTTGATGATTCCAGCCCAGGCCATTTCTCTGTTCCAGACTCACATAGCCTGTGGCGTACACGATACCTTCATGGGCTATCTCAAGAGCATTTCTGTCTCAGTATGAGTATATCTCAGCTCACTCACATCTGGTCCTCTTCTGGTGCCCTCAGATTCTGTGAATGATACCACCCTACCCTAGCCACTCAGCCACTCCTGGGGAAGGCCTCCCTGATGAGCTCTTTCCCTACCCCTAGTCCATCCAGACTTGGTTTCCTTTTTGAACCCTTCCTGGGCTGCCCCACTTTTCTCCATGGGAACCACCGTCCTGCCTTTTGTCTCCCTGTGCTCGCTTTGGTGCCCTCACTCAGTTGTCCACACCACAGTCAGACTAAGCTTATTAAAATGTACAAGTGATTGTGTCATACTGTCTGTAATCTTTTAAAATTTCCCTTCACTAAAAAAAAAGATTAAGATACAGACCGTTAACTATAGAGAACAAACTGATAGTTACTGGAGGGGATGGGAGTGGGGGCATGGGTTAAATAGGTAATGGCGATTAAGGAGAGCACTTGTGATGAGCATCAGGTGATACATAGAATTATTGAATCACTCTATACGTGAAACTAATATAACACTGTATGTTGACTGGGATTAAAATAAAAACTTAAGGGGCGCCTGGGTGGTTCAGACGGTTAAGCGTCTGCCTTCGGCTCAGGTCATGATCCCAGGGTTCTGGGATCGAGCCTCACATCAGGCTCCTGGCTCAGCGGGGAGCCTGCTTCTCCCTCTCCCTCTGCCTCTCTCCCTGCTCATGCTCACTGGCTCTCTATCTCTGTGTCTCAAATGAATAAATAAAATCTTTAAAAAAAATAAAAACTTAAAATTAAAGATGCAAAAATAAATAAATAAAACTTCCCTGTGCTGTAGGACAAAGGTAAGTCTTCTTAATGGTGCCCTCAAAGCCCTGAAATGGCTGGTCCAGCCTCTTCTTGTATCCTCTCCCTCAGGTTCCCTGCTCTGCTCTGACTGGCTTTGCTTTTCTCCTTGTTTGCTGTTTCCCCTACCGGGATTCTGTTCCCTGTCTACTCAGGGAATTCTTAACTCTTCTTGCAGATCTCCATCTAGTCATGTTTTCCTTAGGGAAGTTCTCTGTGACCTCCCTAACTAGGTCCAGGTCCTGTTTTGCAGAGCCTAATCTCTACCACCATCTCTCCTTGGTAGCCCTGTTAAAGTGGCAATTTTACACATACATGCTTAGCACCTGGTACACACTTTTGATGTTTTCCAAATGAATGAGGAAGTGTTGGGGTACTTAATATGGTTGCTTAACAGCCTCTACCTGAACGTTATTGTTGTTGGGAATTTGCGTAGCATATAGGGGCACGGCGTACTCTTGTTCCATTTCTCTGTTGGTGCTGTCAGGCAGGGCGAGAGGGAGCCACACAGGCGGGGATGGAGAACCTAGAGAGAACAGCCAGAGGAGCATTGAAAGGGAGAAGTAGCTTCTGCTGTTCTTGCTGCTTAGCTTCCCTTTCCGTCCTGGTTGAATCCACTGTGTTAACTGACTTCATTGACAGACTCTCTCCTACTCTCCATTTCCTGTGCATGGTTTCAGAGAATCTTTACAAATATATTTTGGTTAGGGTCAAGCATATATCAGTAGTTCCTAGTTCTATTCTAAATAGCTGGCTCAAAGTCTGTAGAAGAAATGGAAATGAAGGCCTGTTGGAGGAGGTGGTGGATTGGGTTCCCTGAACTATGGTCATTTGCTCTGTGGTGTGAGTTGTTCAGTTCAGCAGGTATTCACTGGGGGCATGCGAGGAGCTGTGTTGGCTTCTGGGGATATAAGGGTGAATAAATTCTGCACCTGCCTGGCCATGGGGCACATGGTGAGGTCAGCATGTGGTAATCAAGGTGAAAGCTGGTGGAAGCCGTATGAGAGGAACCCTTGACTTGGAGAAGGACAAGCCGAGGCAGGGGCTGGGTGGGGGGCCCTGGGGACCAGGCTGGTTGGTGGCCTTGACCTAATTCCAGGACCCTTGCAATTGTGACCTGAGAGGTTCTCAGCTGGGTGTAAGGATGGGCCCATGTCACAATGACTGGGTGGGGGCTGTCACTGAGTGCTGGTGAATGGAAGAGGAGGGCCTGGGGCACAACAGAGAAAAGGGTGATGAGGTGAGCTGCTGAGGTGGGCCCGGCTGAAGTGGCAGCACAGGAGGTCACACTCTCTGACCCCAAACGCCAGACGTGTTTGTTTTTTTATTTTTATCGAAGTCATACTAAAGCACCCCTAATCAAACACAGAATTTCTGTAGCAAAATGTATGGATATCTACAGTTAGGAATAGAAATAGACATTGCAAAGAGCCTCCCATCATTTTAGATTTTGCTGCCAGAGTTTGTTGCTAAAGTTTGAAGAAATGTTCAGTTTTCCCAGCATTTTTGACTTGTGAGAATTGTGGGTGAGGGGTTGTGGATCTGAAATGATAGCTAATGCTTATAGAGCTTCACATGCACTGACTCTTGTCCTCACAGCAACCCTACTAGGATTGGTACCTCGAAGATCCCATTTTATAGGTGAGACAAGGTCAGTGACTTGCCTGTGGTCACAGAGCTCACCACTGGTGGCTCTGTCGTCTACATTCTTACCAGGCTGCTGACTTGTGAATGGGAAGTGGGGAGAGAGTTTGAAGGACCAGGTCTTTCTCCCACTCTTTAGACACCTAGCATCCACAGCCAGCCTGCCTGAGTGCCCAGGAAGGTCTGCAGGGAAGGGAGGTGGGAGACCCAAAGAGGTCATAGTCACGTACTCAGATTCCCCGAGGGCCCGTGGGGACTCGTTTCCAGGATGCTGCATCTTGTGGTCTGGTTGGGCAGCGAGCTTTCCTCAAAAGCTGTAGGGGAAGTTACATGCAGCGTCAAGTAGAGCAGAGGAGGAGGTGAGGCGGTCAGAGACGAGCTGTGGTGTGGGCAGGCTGGGATTTGAGAAATAAGGGTTCTGTAAGGAGATTCTTCGTGAGACTGTAGAGTGGGGAGATGACTGTTTTCTAATCTTCTTCCACCTGCTGTGCAAGATACATGTGTTCTGGAACACCCCAGATGAACACTTTCTGCTTGCCACTCCCTCATCACTGCAGACCGCTGCCCACCTGAGGGGCACTGAGCAGGTCACCCCAGTAGTATTTGCTCATGTGTGTGCAAGTATCTCAGTGCCTTTGTGTGTGCATGTGTGAGTGTGCAAAAATACATATAAAATGCATATGAGCCGGGATAATGAAACAACTTTGACTCTCCCACTCAGTTTAAGAAATAGAACTTTACTAAAACCTTAGAAATCCTGTGTGTCTGCTCCAATTGCATCTTTTCTCTTCAGAGGTAACCACTATCCTGCAGTTCCTTTTAATCATTTCCTTGCTTTTCTTTATAGTTTTACCGTGTGTGTGTTTGCAGATTATATATATATGTTTTGTTTTAACTTTTTGGTCCTTATAAAATGAAGCATGTGGCAAGCTTTCTGGGGTGTTTTGCTCAGTATATTTTTGCGATTCATTCAGTGGGGTGTGTGGCTGAAGTTCTTCATTCACTTTTTCTGTCGGATGGTACTGCATCCGTTCCAGTGGTGGCCATTGGGGCTGTCTCCGGTTTCTGCTATCGTAAATAAACAGTGTTGGAGTGGGCATTCTCGTTCTGGTCTCCTGGCGCACAGGTACGGTAGGTCCATTAGAGCAGTGGTGATCTAATAGGGTGGGGTGGCATGGGGAGGGGCAAAATGGGTGTGGAGGAGACAGGGAGACACTTTTGGTTGTCCTACCTGGCAAGTGGGGAGCTACTGTATCTAACGGGTACAGTCCAC